AGTCACGCAATAACGTCAAAATCGTAAGAAAGAGCCAAAACAGCGGAGAAGTCAGTCCCATGTTCAAGTCAGAATTAGAGTCAGCTAAAGACAGAGACCGGGCGAAAGCTCTGAGGACATTATTAGAAGCGAACGCTCGTTGGAACGCGACCAGGAGAGACACGTCGGCTAGCGATATTAGAAGAAAAGTGGACGAAACGAGTACAATAGACCCAGAATTACGGAAGGAGCTCTTATATTCGTGGGAAAACGGCTTCCTTGAGGATAAACCCGAGAAGGTGGAACCAAGCTCGACTAACCTTTTGAGAAAGGATGAAGGCAGAAAGAGTGGAAAGGCGTTAACAAATCCGTTGAAGGGGAAAGTACAACTAGAAACTCCACACACAGTCAAAACAGCTGCGGGGGCAATTTATAGAAAGAGTGACATTGCTCAAACAAAAATCAACACTAGTGATATGAGAGATAAAAGCCCGAAAAAGGAACAATCTAGACAAAGCCCACATGGAGATGAGCCAAAATCAAAATCAAAGAAAAAAGAAGGCGGGTCACGGAAAAAGAACAGCGACTCCGAAGAAATGCCTGATATACAAAAACGGTCGAACTTGGAAAATGCAGTGGAATTCTACCAAGATAGTCAACAAAATGTAACATCCAAAGAATTAGAAGTGAACGGAGGCCTTAACTTGGGCGTAAAGAGAGCTAAACCCAAGAATGCCGGTCCAGTGCGGGGAAACGCTGGGGGCTCAGAACCAAAAGGTGTTGGGAAAAAGGATAAAAAATCAACATGTCAAGAGGCTAGGAAACCGAAAGCTGCAATAACAGCACGCCAGAGAAACCAGGCGGACGAGGAAGAAATGAATACAATGTCATTTACAGAAAAAGCCTGTACTCTAAGTACATCCACTCCTAGAAAGGAAATGAGGGATAAAAGTAAGGAAATCACCCAAAATAGTTCAGCAGAAAAGATATTGGAGACGTTCCAAAGCCGTGACCTAGCTACAGAAGACTGGAATCTCTTAGCAGATCAGGTTTTGACTAGGGGAGTTCAAAAAGAGGCAGAAACAATTCTAAAAAATGCAGACACGAGCGGCGACGAAGGAAGCAATGCGCCTCCAGGTTTTTCAGATGAATCGGGTGAGACTGAAGTACCGGTTAGACGCAGCGGAAGACAGACGAAAAACAAAGGCCCAATTCGTTTCGGAAATCCTGTTAAACATTCTATCAAATTAATTACGACAGATCAAGATATAACAGATCTTAACAAAGCAGCGCTAGAGGCATACAGATTCAAACTAGCAACGTTCAAAGCGGATGCCAACAAGCCGGTAGAAACGAAATTGGGATTGCTCGAAAAACATCTCTTTTGTCGGAAGTTTGGAAGCGAGGCACTGGATATTACAAAGACTTAAGGAAAAATCAAAGCCGTTGAAAACTAATTAAACTGAGTATTAAATTTCATAGTTTTTTAATTTTTATATGCATACTATATAAAACTTAGTTATTCTAACCTTGGAACGCATATCGGTATCTATAATTATATATATTGTTATTAAGTTATTGTCAAGGTCATGCAGTGTTGATCGCTGGTTAGACTTTAGTTAGTCGTTGAGCTCTGCGTACCAAGATACGGTTATAGAGTTGTTTCACGGAACCGTAGTTCATGAATGAAAACAAAGTTTCAGTTTGAATTAAACTCTTGAGACTATATCATTTTCATTTGAGCTTATAGCATTATATCACGTTATCAAAGCGACAGAATTACAGCCGACCGACCTCGGCACCAGAAATCTATCGAAATTTTTCAGCACCGACTTAAATTATTTGCAAATCTTAGCGTGCAGCTATTTAACATGCAGGCAACACAGAAGTCAACACATAGGCGCCACTTTCCTTACTACAAAATCATTAAAATGAAAAACAAAGTAAAATGTAGTTTGAAAAAGAAACAGATGAAACAAAATTATCATAGAACTCGATGGAAGACACCTAGGGACAGGCACCAGCTATATTTGTCTGAAATTTATATACTGATGCAGTACGAAATGCGCAATTTCAAAAATGGGACTTTTGTAGATAAGCAACTCGGAAGAGTGAAAATTTTGTATTTTCCGAAAGACATTAACATTTCTTTCATGAAAAAAAAAGTAGTCGCCTATTCAGGAAAAAAAACGCGCAACCACTTTCTTTGATCGAACTTTTCATTTCAGATTTGTTAGGTAGCTTATCAGAAAATGCTAAAAACTTTAAAAAAAGGTCCAAATTCAAAAACTTTAGCCCCTTATGCAGAAGAGCTTCGCCGAACATGTAAATTCGATTGAACCCAAAAATCCGTTTGGCGGAGTAGTTCTTGAGAAAGGTCAAAAAATTTCAAAACAACGGTAAAAAAAAGCAAAACTTTGACATTTCAGTGTGTCAAAAAAATGTAGTTGCGTATGCAAAGGGACTTCTCACAACACCTTCTCTGAATTAAACCGAACAGCCCAGATACGGGAGGGTGTTTTCAGTAAAACTCATAAAAGCTCAAACATTATAAAATTAACTTTCCTGAAGACGATAATTTTAGTGTATAAAAAACTGTGAGGAGGCCCTGATGCAAGGAAGCCTCACCTTATCCGTTATCTCCATTGGACCCACAACCTCAGGTTTGGGAAGTCAGTTTTCGAGATGAAAAACTTAAAAAATCGGTCAAAAAGCTTCTTGAACAATAATTTTTGTGAAGAAAGAATCTGTGGGTGGCTTCTTGTGCAGAAAAGATCTACAACCTGTACGTTCGCTTGAGCCCAAAAATCCAGGTTTGGCAGTGTGGTTCTCGTGAAAAGTTTCAAGAAACGGGCAGAAAATCCAAATTTTTGACTTCTCCGAGGGACATAAATTTTTGTCAATTACGTAGTCGCGTAAGCAAAGGAGCTTTTCACAACCCGTTCTCTGGATTGAACCCAACATTTCAGATAAAGTAGGGTTTTTGCGGAAAAATTCATAAAAAATCATCTTTAAAAACACTCAAAAAATTGAACTTTCCGAGGATGATAACTTTCTGTGTAATATATTTTAATAAAAACTCTAATGCAGGAAAGCTTCACTCTACCCATTATCTCCAATGAACCGCCAACTTCAGGTTTCGGAGGTTAGTTTTCGAGAAAATTCGAAAAAGTTCATAAAAGTTCAAAAAAATCAAAAATTTCTCTATTCACACGTCCAAAAACTTATTTGTACAAAAGTTTAGGCGTAGCCGCTAATGAATGGGCTTTCCGCTTTCCATCACCGCTCTATTTACTGAAACAAATACCAGATTTTTTGAAGGCTGTAGACAAAAGGGTAAAAAAAAAGATCAAAGAATAAACCGGTACAAAAAGCTGTAGGCAGTCTCTTTAGGGATACCTTTTTTTGAAAATCGGTTCAAAGGCTTTATCGAAAAAATATTTATTTTCCATAGCGTTCAAAAAAAACCCAATCCAAACATTTTCATAATACCTGCTTTTATCGAACAGGGTATCTAGGTAAAAATGCTGAGCAGGAGATCCTAAATTTTCTGATAGACATTAACATTTCTTTCACGAAAAAAAAATAAAAAAAGTAGTTGCTTGTTCAGGAAAAAAAACGCGCAACCGCTTTCTTTGATCGAACTTATTTTAATCAGAATATGCTAAGAACTTTAAAAAGCGGTCCACATTCAAAAACTTTAGCCGCTTATGCCGAAGAGCTTCTCCGAACATGTAAATTCGATTGAACCCAAAAACCCGTTTGGCGGAGTAGTTCTTGAGAAAGGTCAAAAAATTTCAAAACAACGGAAAAAAAACTTTGACATTTCAGTGTGTCAAAAAAAATGTAGTTGCGTATGCAGAGGGACTTCTCACAACACCTTCTTTGAATTAAACCGAACATCCCAGATACGGGTGGGTGTTTTCAGTAAAATTCATAGAAGGACCCACAACCTCAGGTTTGGGAATTCAGTTTTCGAGATGAAAAAATTAAAAAATCGGTCAAAAAGTTTCTTGAACAATAACTTTTGTGTAGAAAAAATCTTTGGGTGCCTTCTTGTGCAGAAGCTGTGGGTGGCTTCTTGTGCTGTGGGTGGCTTCTTTTTTGAAAATCGATTCAAAGGTTTTATGGAAAAATTATTTATTTTCCATAACGTTCAAAAAAATAAAAAAACCCAATCCAAACATTTTCATAATACATGCTTTTATCGAACAGGCCATCTAGGTTAACATGCCAAGCAAGACATCTGAAATTCAAATTGAAAATTGAACAATTTTACGAAGCGAAAACAAGGCCTGCAATCTATGTGCAGGCACCAGTTGCGCCGAAGAAAAAACTCATTTTGTAAAAAACTAAGTTCCATGTCCAACTTAAACTAAACTGTACTAACACACATCACAAGTAGTTAATAGTAGCTTAGTACCCATCCAGCTAGTACCAACCCATAAATGATTCAACTGATTTTGTTAACTAGTTGTTAACCCGAAAAAAAGTCTACCATCCAATTTCATAACGCTTGCTACTCTCAAGCCTAAAAATTTGTTTGAAATACGACGAAATTGTATATAATAGAAAAACCATTTCATCAACTTTGAGAATAAAGTTGTTAACGGGAAAAAGTCTTGTACACGGTTGCAACACCCTTACTTATCGCAACCCTAAAAAAATAAAATCCAATTTCAAAACTAGAAGCCGACCTTTTTCATGACTTTTACATTTTTGAAGTTCGGTAGATTTCTCCTTCATTCTAGCAAATGAATTGGAATTAAACCTAAGAAATCAAGTCATATCGCAATAAAAATTAACTCGAGCACATCCGAACTATTGCAACCAATAAAAAAGCCAATTAAATCAAACTGTGCTTTCTGCGGGTATTAATGCACCTATTGCAATAAACTTGATGCTTTTGTGACGATACTTAAAGTCGTTTCAACTTAATCAAAGCTTTTTTCATAAGAAAAGCCGATTCTATTGTATTGATTATTGTATCGATTATTGAAGAAATGGAAGCGCGATTCGGTTTTTAAAAATTAAATTCATAGTAAATCTAGATATCAGCATCTCAACCTTGGACGGCTTCGTTTCGTTAGTGTACACCAGATAAAACCAGATGAGAAGATTCAAAAAGAGAGTTCGAAAAGGGGATCGGAACAGTTTTGAAAAGCTACTGAGACTTTCATTTCAGTCTAATTGCATTTTTTCTTCTGCTGTAGCTGAATTTGCTGTCGATTCCTTCTGTGCTTCTTCTTGCTTCCATCTGGCGTACTCTACGAACTCGTCCAAAAGGGTAGGCCACGCACCTTCCGTGTCGTATTCCTCGAAACTTCCGATCTGGTTCACAAAGTCTAAAGTCACATTCCACGTATCTTCCGGAATCGTGTTGCGCTTCCTGCCATCTAAAAAAACAAGCTAATATTGAAACAACGATTGCAAAAAGACAAATTAAAATGCACTTTCACGTCTCTTGCAGATTAAATAGAGAAAAGTATCACCATATTCACAAAAAATTTTAAAGGAAGCAACCTCGAAACGTTTGAAAAAATTTCATCTGAGAAAAACAAGAAAACTGGTTCAAAACATTAAAAACCAACACTTTTCTGCTTGTTTGGATATAAAGTGTAAAAAGCACAGTTAGCACCACAGGATAAATAAGTGCACTCCGAACTACGAAACAAACTTTCTAATGACAAGGTCCCAAAAGCTTGTCTTTGCTCTAGTTTATTTCATGGATGTTGGTCTTGAATTTCGCTTTGAATAGCACAATATGATACTTGGCTTCAACTTAAAGCGTCATTCAAGTAAAATGCATGAAAAAACTGCTGGCGTTAAAATTCTAATTCATTCGTTCTGGTACTCTTTGTTTAAATTAAAGCGCTTTCAAAAACATACCAAGTGTTGCAAAAAATAAACTGTTGTTTGCAAATATCTATAAAAACTTGAAATTTTGCATTGCAAACGATAATTCAGTTTTTCAACGAAAACTAAAAAAAAAAAAAAAGCTGAACACACAATTTAAGCTCCAAACAAACCACATTCTTCTCGCATATCTAAAGAAATCAACTCAAAAACACCCGCTTGCTGTGCAAGTAGCACAGAAAACTCCGACCACAATCATAGAAAAACTCAAAAAAAAAACTTCTTTTCTTCAAATTAGTTTCGTTTTTTTTGCGAGTGGTACGGGTAGAAAGTAAGCAAATTAGACATAATCGACAACAGTTCTCTTCGAAAAGTGAAAAAGCAAAAACCTACCATAAAAGATTTTGTAATTTTTTGCAAAATAATTAAATTTTTTCTAGAAAAATTTAATGAACAAGAAAGCGCTAATTCAAGCTTTCAAAAAATTTTCCTTTTTTTCATATAACGAAGGTTACTCGATTGCTTTTCTCACTGGAAATTGGACAAAACTCAAACACTTGAAACTAGTTCCCCAGAGGGATGGGGCGGGAGTGATTGGGCGGTCCCCCCCTCTCAGGAATTCGAACCCTGCCGACACAAAGGGTCCTCCTCTTGTGATATTTTGATATATCCATTTTTGGTGACGGGCCCTAAATTTATTGTAAAGGCGCCTTAGGCGCCAATATATACTAATTTTGAGGGGGGCGCGTTTTTGGCCTGTTTTTTTTGCCAAAATTGGTCAAAATGGGAATTACGTGGATTATTTATGAGTGATTATTTTCACGATGATTACCTGAGTTAGCGTGGAGTCACGAAAAAATTTCACATTCTTTCACATTCCCGGTCTTAAACTTGATGTTGTTTTGATATAAATAAATCGAGCTCGGCTAGAACTTTTTATTTATTAACTTAACGTTTTTTGCTGTTGTCAGCTTTGTTTCAGTTCTTTTTTTTGCTTGACTTATCAGAACTTTTCAACCTCCGCCGTTCTACCCGAGCACCTATTGAAGGCTTACTTTTAACGGGAAAAAATAGAGAACAAATACAGCTGCCAGGTCAATAACAAATAGACTCAGGCTTTTCTATAATTTTAGCACGCAAATGAAGGTTAAGTTTGGTCATGAAAATAGTTGACGATAAGGACTACCTGAAATGGTTTCAAAAATCTATATTTGTTTATATCTTAGGCAAATAGGATATTTAGAATTTGCTGCTTTAAAAATGTTTCGCCCTATTATACTTAATACTTTCTTCTAAAACTTTTTTCAAGGTTACCACTCTCGATGAGCTGAAAAGCTCTTTAATAACCCTGCAGGCAATTTGTAAGTTTTGTCAACAAGTTTTTGCGATAGTAGAACACGACGAAAATCAGATCTAAAGGCAATAAGAAAAATTAGTAATACGCCTCGAATAAGTAAAAACTCGGCTACATCTAGGGTTCGAAACCAGCGACCTAGAGACTATGTCTCACACGCCAACCACTCAGCCGCGGACGCTTAACAGGCATCAAACAATAGCCACAAGTAAAGAAGAGAACAGATGCTATGGAATTTTCAATGCTACAAGGAAATTTCCAAATAAGTGAACACTTTTAATGAGCACTTTTATTTGCAAGTTAGGTACGGAAAAAAGAAGGTTCGTAATAATACTTTACGCCGATTACGAGTTTAAACACAACCTCTAAGCCAATGTGTTATCTGATACCAAAAAACTGGCTTTCAGAAGAAAAAAGTTCCCTTCCTAATTTGATCATGCTTTAAGCAAGTTCATCAAAAATTATGTGGTGCCCAGTTGCAATAACAATGTTGAAGTTTAATTGAGGCTGATATAAATTTTGATTTAATTATTTAATATGACTACCCTTTAGACGAAATCATCCCAGTTTGAGAATTTTCAACATGGTAGCTTTCCTTCGTGTAAATTAAAATTAGCGCAACCTTATTCAGAAAATAACTAACGTGCACCAGATAAAAACTCTTTCCAGAGGTTGAGAAAAATGAATCCCCCCTCTCAAGAATTCGAACCCTGCGGACACAAAGGGTCCTACCCTTGTGCTATTTTGAGATATCCATTTTTGGTGACGGGCCCTAAATTTATTGTAAAGGCACCTTTGGCGCCAATATATACTAATTTTGAGGAGGGGGGCGCTTTTTTGGCCTGCTTTTTTGCCAATTTTGCCTTTGGCGCAGAAAAATTGGTAAAAATGGGAATTACGTGGATTATTTATGTGTGATTAATTTCATGATGATTACCTGAGTTAGCGTGGAGTCACGAAAAAAACTTCACATTCCAGGTCTTAAGCTTGATGTTGTTTTGATATAAATAAATCGAGCTCGGCTAGAACTTTTTATTTATTAACTTAACGTTTTTTGCTGTTGACAGCTTTGTTTCAATTCTTTTTTTGCTTGACTTATCATAACTTTTCAACCTCCGCCGTTCTACCCGAGCACCTACTGAAGGCTTACTTTTATCGGGAAAAAATAGAGAACAAATACAGCTGCCAGGTCAATAACAAATAGACTCAGGCTTTTCTATAATTTTAGCACGCAAATGAAGGTTAAGTTTGGTCATGAAAATAGTTGACGATAAGGACTACCTGAAATGGTTTCAAAAATCTATATTTGTTTATATCTTAGGCAAATAGGATATTTAGAATTTGCTGCTTTAAAAATGTTTCGCCCTATTATACTTAATACTTTCTTCTAAAACTTTTTTCAAGGTTACCACTCTCGATGAGCTGAAAAGCTCTTTAATAACCCTGCAGGCAATTTGTAAGTTTTGTCAACAAGTTTTTGCGATAGTAGAACACGACGAAAATCAGATCTAAAGGCAATAAGAAAAATTAGTAATACGCCTCGAATAAGTAAAAACTCGGCTACATCTAGGGTTCGAAACCAGCGACCTAGAGACTATGTCTCACACGCCAACCACTCAGCCGCGGACGCTTAACAGGCATCAAACAATAGCCACAAGTAAAGAAGAGAACAGATGCTATGGAATTTTCAATGCTACAAGGAAATTTCCAAATAAGTGAACACTTTTAATGAGCACTTTTATTTGCAAGTTAGGTACGGAAAAAAGAAGGTTCGTAATAATACTTTACGCCGATTACGAGTTTAAACACAACCTCTAAGCCAATGTGTTATCTGATACCAAAAAACTGGCTTTCAGAAGAAAAAAGTTCCCTTCCTAATTTGATCATGCTTTAAGAAAGTTCATCAAAAATTATGTGGTGCCCAGTTGCAATAACAATGTTGAAGTTTAATTGAGGCTGATATAAATTTTGATTTAATTATTTAATATGACTACCCTTTAGACGAAATCATCCCAGTTTGAGAATTTTCAACATGGTAGCTTTCCTTCGTGTAAATTAAAATTAGCGCAACCTTATTCAGAAAATAACTAACGTGCACCAGATAAAAACTCTTTCCAGAGGTTGAGAAAAATGAATCCCCCCTCTCAAGAATTCGAACCCTGCGGACACAAAGGGTCCTACCCTTGTGCTATTTTGAGATATCCATTTTTGGTGACGGGCCCTAAATTTATTGTAAAGGCACCTTTGGCGCCAATATATACTAATTTTGAGGAGGGGGGCGCTTTTTTGGCCTGCTTTTTTGCCAATTTTGCCTTTGGCGCAGAAAAATTGGTAAAAATGGGAATTACGTGGATTATTTATGTGTGATTAATTTCATGATGATTACCTGAGTTAGCGTGGAGTCACGAAAAAAACTTCACATTCCAGGTCTTAAGCTTGATGTTGTTTTGATATAAATAAATCGAGCTCGGCTAGAACTTTTTATTTATTAACTTAACGTTTTTTGCTGTTGACAGCTTTGTTTCAATTCTTTTTTTGCTTGACTTATCATAACTTTTCAACCTCCGCCGTTCTACCCGAGCACCTACTGAAGGCTTACTTTTATCGGGAAAAAATAGAGAACAAATACAGCTGCCAGGTCAATAACAAATAGACTCAGGCTTTTCTATAAATTTAGCACGCAAATGAAGGTTAAGTTTGGTCATGAAAATAGTTGACGATAAGGACTACCTGAAATGGTTTCAAAAATCTATATTTGTTTATATCTTAGGCAAATAGGATATTTAGAATTTGCTGCTTTAAAAATGTTTCGCCCTATTATACTTAATACTTTCTTCTAAAACTTTTTTCAAGGTTACCACTCTCGATGAGCTGAAAAGCTCTTTAATAACCCTGCAGGCAATTTGTAAGTTTTGTCAACAAGTTTTTGCGATAGTAGAACACGACGAAAATCAGATCTAAAGGCAATAAGAAAAATTAGTAATACGCCTCGAATAAGTAAAAACTCGGCTACATCTAGGGTTCGAAACCAGCGACCTAGAGACTATGTCTCACACGCCAACCACTCAGCCGCGGACGCTTAACAGGCATCAAACAATAGCCACAAGTAAAGAAGAGAACAGATGCTATGGAATTTTCAATGCTACAAGGAAATTTCCAAATAAGTGAACACTTTTAATGAGCACTTTTATTTGCAAGTTAGGTACGGAAAAAAGAAGGTTCGTAATAATACTTTACGCCGATTACGAGTTTAAACACAACCTCTAAGCCAATGTGTTATCTGATACCAAAAAACTGGCTTTCAGAAGAAAAAAGTTCCCTTCCTAATTTGATCATGCTTTAAACAAGTTCATCAAAAATTATGTGGTGCCCAGTTGCAATAACAATGTTGAAGTTTAATTGAGGCTGATATAAATTTTGATTTAATTATTTAATATGACTACCCTTTAGACGAAATCATCCCAGTTCGAGAATTTTCAACATGGTAGCTTTCCTTCGTGTAAATTAAAATTAGCGCAATCTTATTCAGAAAATAACTAACGTGCACCAGATAAAAACTCTTTCCAGAGGTTGAGAAAAATGAATCCCCCCTCTCAAGAATTCGAACCCTGCGGACACAAAGGGTCCTACCCTTGTGCTATTTTGAGATATCCATTTTTGGTGACGGGCCCTAAATTTATTGTAAAGGCACCTTTGGCGCCAATATATACTAATTTTGAGGAGGGGGGCGCTTTTTTGGCCTGCATTTTTGCCAATTTTGCCTTTGGCGCAGAAAAATTGGTAAAAATGGGAATTACGTGGATTATTTATGTGTGATTAATTTCATGATGATTACCTGAGTTAGCGTGGAGTCACGAAAAAAACTTCACATTCCAGGTCTTAAGCTTGATGTTGTTTTGATATAAATAAATCGAGCTCGGCTAGAACTTTTTATTTATTAACTTAACGTTTTTTGCTGTTGACAGCTTTGTTTCAATTCTTTTTTTGCTTGACTTATCATAACTTTTCAACCTCCGCCGTTCTACCCGAGCACCTACTGAAGGCTTACTTTTATCGGGAAAAAATAGAGAACAAATACAGCTGCCAGGTCAATAACAAATAGACTCAGGCTTTTCTATAATTTTAGCTCGCAAATGAAGGTTAAATTTGGTCATGAAAATAGTTGACGATAAGGACTACCTGAAATGGTTTCAAAAATCTATATTTGTTTATATCTTAGGCAATTAGGATATTTACAATTTGCTGCTTTAAAAATGTTTCGCCCTATTATACTTAATACCTTCTTCTATAACTTTTTTCAAGGTTACCACTCTCGATGAGCTTGAAAAGCTCTTTGATAACCCTGCAGGCATTTTGTAAATTTTGTCATCAAGTTTTTGCGATAGTAGAACACGACGAAAATCAGATCTAAAGGCAATAAGAAAAATTAGTAATACGCCTCGAATAAGTAAAAACTCGGCTACATCTAGGGTTCGAAACCAGCGACCTAGAGACTATGTCTCACACGCCAACCACTCAGCCGCGGACGCTTAACAGGCATCAAACAATAGCCACAAGTAAAGAAGAGAACAGATGCTATGGAATTTTCAATGCTACAAGGAAATTTCCAAATAAGTGAACACTTTTAATGAGCACTTTTATTTGCAAGTTAGGTACGGAAAAAAGAAGGTTCGTAATAATACTTTACGCCGATTACGAGTTTAAACACAACCTCTAAGCCAATGTGTTATCTGATACCAAAAAACTGGCTTTCAGAAGAAAAAAGTTCCCTTCCTAATTTGATCATGCTTTAAACAAGTTCATCAAAAATTATGTGGTGCCCAGTTGCAATAACAATGTTGAAGTTTAATTGAGGCTGATATAAATTTTGATTTAATTATTTAATATGACTACCCTTTAGACGAAATCAGCCCAGTTTGAGATTTTTCAACATGGTAATTTTCCTTCGTGTAAATCAAAATTAGCGCAACCTTATTCAGAATATAACTAACCTGCACCAGATAAAAACTCTTTCCAGAGGTTGAGAAAAATGAATTTGTTTTCGAGAAGAAGAGTCCAGTAGGCGGCAGCTGTGTCGATATCCAAATTCTTCTTTCCTTCGTCTTTTGCATAGCCGAATGTGTAGCGGTATAGCTGCCTAAAGCCGACCCAAAATTCAATCCCAACTTGCAAAATTTATTTTCCTATCTTTTCAAGTCCATTGTTCCCAGAAAAGCTTCTACACACAGAATACGAAGCAGACTTACACACACAAAAGCTTCGTCACTTGCGATCAGTGATTTGTACAAATTGAGTGATTTAAGACAAGCTATATGAAAAAACTCTCATACGATATATGCTTACACAATTATACGGGAGTTTGGGCTCAAGCGATTCCGAAAAATGAGTTTTGTGTGCATGCAATGCAGTTGGCTCTAAAAACTTTCAAATCTCTTTTTTTCGAATTTCGTTTTCTTTTAAATCTCACGTTTACTTATAAATCTCTTGCAATTAAAAAAAAACATTAAGCTCAAATTTCACAAAAAGAAACTTATCTCTTTCTATGAGCGAAACAAACGAAGAAACATTTTTGACAGCAGAACTTTTCATGAGGAATAACAATTTTGCATATCGAAGCCGATTACAAATTTTCTATAAATTTTAAATTGTATGTAGTTTCATAATTTGTCGGACAATTTCAAATGTATCCATTCTCATCATTGCTTACAAATTGATCAACTGAGTTTGCGTTTTTTATTCAGGCTCAGCACAATGACTCAGCCACAACATTTCGAAAAAAGTTTTACAAAATGAATTTGGCAATAAAATTGAAAAGTTGCTAACTATTTGCTAAATTGATTATCGAAGAAATGGACACGAGCATGGAACATGACCTGAAAGCGCCAATCAACAAACAGATAACACTTTTTTTCATCGAATCATCTACAATTCATTGAATGAAACATACAACCAAATAGAAATTCAATTCCAATTCTCGAGTTTTCACTAAAAGAAGCAATGCCTAAACTCTACTCACTTGAAGCCAACGCTGTTGGTGTTTTTAACTTCGTTCATCATCTGGGGAATAGTGGATCTAAGCTTTTCTATACTATCACTTCCAAGTTCATACATTCCCTCAACAAATTCTTGCTTTGTGAAGACACACTGGCGCTTGGCCTTGAATTTCCAGGCCAAAACTAAAACTGGTAGGGAAGTAGGGTCCAATTTGAGGTCACCGCAAAAACGTATAATTTCCTCGGCAAACATTGTTTCTGGTCTATCTGGGTTTGCGTAATGTCTGAACAAATTTTCAATTGCTCTTCTGTCTGCCTGAAGAAAAATTTAAATCACAATTATGACATCATCACCATCGTTCATTCTTACTATCTTGCTCTTTTACGATCTTCCCTTATTTGCATTGTCCCTGAATTTGATTTTCACAATTGAAAACTTTGTTTTTGCAATGAGTTATTTTTACTATAAGCAATCAATTGTTCGAAAATTAGCTACAAATAAAATGGAATCCTTTGCTAAAAATTGACACCAGAATTTCCTCAACTGCTATAAGAACAAAAACGAAATTTGGAGAATACCTGAAGCCACTAATAAGAGCAGACTCACCAAATCCAATAATTACTTTGTAACTTGGCAATAATAACGTAGCAGTATTTAGACAACCGCGTATTCCTACTCGTCAGTAGGCAGACAAATACTGTATAAACCAATCAAAACTGAGATGAGAAAGCAAACTTTCGAAATAAATAATTATTACTAGCGTGTAACGCACCTTCGGTGCTTCAAATTTATGACAACTCTCAAAACCGCAGATATTAGAAATAATATTTGCATCCTTTGAATATACTCTGACAGCACCCAAATACAGTATTGGTAATTTCAAATTTTGTAAAGCTATTCAAGTTTTTTTAATTCAAAATTTGAAAAACCATGCAATTTTGTGAATTTTTTTAATATCTAAATTCGTTGAAAACTTTGAAATGACAGAAAAACGCCAATTCTCTGAAACTAAAAGCAATGGAGCAGTCGCATTTGGACCCAAGAATTGCAACTTCTGAGAGTACTCACAGTACCCAACAACAGGGTTGGGAACTTCAAACTTTGAAGAACTTCAAGTTTAAATTCTCTAATTTTTTTTAAAGTGACATATCTCCAGAACTACAAAAATTTGAGCACTCACATTTGGAGGCAAAAGTTTCAACCCCTGAGAGTACTCTGACAGCCCCAAACATCAGATTAGGAATTCCAAACTTTGAAGAAAAAAAATTAAATTTAAGTTTTCTGAAAACTTTTTAGAAAAAAAAAACACAAAAAACGTCATATCTCGAAAACTAACAGGATTTAAGCACTCATAGATACAGGAAAAACTCGCAACCCCAAGAAGTGCCCTGACAAAACATCAATATAGAGATGCGAATTTTAAATTTTTATATCTAAGTACTTTGAACATTTAAAAAAAAGACATTACAAACGTCACATCTCGGAAACTAAAAGCATTTGAGCATTTTGCAACATGAAATCTTGAGAGTACCCTAACAGTACCCAACTACAAGATTGAAAATGTCAAACCTTTTTAAAGTTATTTATATTAAATTTTCAAAAAACGTAAGTTTTCTGAGAAAACATAAAATACGTCATATCTCGAAAACTACAAGGATTTGAGAAGTCATATTCAGAGGCAAGATTAGCAACCCCTGTGATTACCCTCACATTTACCAAATCATGATTGATTTTTCAAAATTTTTGAATTTTTTCAAATCTAAGTTTTTTGAAGAACTACAAGGATTTGAGAACTGAGATTTGGAGGCAAGATTCGCAGCCCCTCAGAGTACCCTGGCAACACCCAACTACAGTGATGAGAAATTCAAATTTAGTAAAATTTTCTAAATTTAAGGTTTCTAGAGATTATTGAAAAATCTCAAAAACTGCCGTATTTCGTCATTACAAGGCCATACTGTGCACTGGATAGGCGCACAATTTTGTGTCTGTATGTTCCTGGATTCCAGAGACAAGTCTTTAAACAGGTAAAAATTTTGTCGGAACGATCGAAGGAAAATAAAGAACAAAAGAAGAACAAAGGGAGCGTCCTTGTTGAGAAATCCGCTAACAATGCACAGTTTGGCCTCGTAATGGTGTACTAAAAGGATTTGGTTATTAATATATCGAGGCCAAAATCGCAACACCTGGGGAAGCCCTGACAGCATTCCAATATTGGGTTGCTAATTTCAAACTTGGTGAAATAAACACTGAATTCAAACTCGAAAAAAATATTAACCAATGCAATATACGATATTGCTTAAACGTAAAAAAAAATCTTAAACATGCAAAAAAAGTTGAAAAGGCTGAAACATGGCGAGATAGTGAAGCCCGCATTTAAATATCTAATAGATAGATTTCTTAGTTTTTCCTTGTCTCGATTCTGATTGGTTACTACAGTATTTGTCTGCTTACTGAAGAGTAGGAATACGTGGTTGTCTAAATACAGACCGCACTACCTTGGCAATTAACTGCTTATCCAATACATTTAACCACAGTAGCATGCAAAGTTTTTCTGATCCCGAACCTTACACAGTGCATAGAAATATGTAGCAGACATCTATTAAGAAAACGTTCATTCAGAATCACTTATTCAGAAACAATGCTCTTTATATGCTCACCCTCTGATAACCACTGGCAGCTGGGGCTCTCCTGTGAATCTGAAGAGTATAAAAATTGTCCATAGCTTCGTCTAATTTCCAGTTGTTTTTCCTGAGAATCTCTCTGGCTTCCTTTGGATCCACTTGAGTGACACCTTGGAACTGTCTCACCAGATTGTCCTTTTCAGAGTTTTTCACTCTGTTATACATCACTGTGCGCTGAAAAAGATGCAACAACTTTGAAAGAATACGCTGGGAAATTTTTACTGTAGTATGACTTATTTATTAACTTATAGGTCGGAAAACGAAATTATGTTAGCGTATTGTTATTATCCCGTTGTTTGCAGCGAGTCCGCCAAGATCTCGCCGAGTTCAAGGAACATTACGACCTCCGACGTTGTGACATTCGACCAGAATGGACGAAAATGCAGTTTCGAATTCGTGGCCGCTGACCTGGAGGATTAACGATTTTAGCAGATTAGCGACGTTATTTGAGTGATTAGACGAATCGTGAAGGTAGGAAAATTCTGAAAATTTTAATTTTCAAGAATTCGAATTGTGACTGAGAAATGATTGAAACGGCCATTTTGGAGAAAAACGAGAAAAACACAACAACAATAGTTGCAGTAGAAACGACTACGATAGAAATAACGACAGATAACTGGAAATTGTCAGAAACCGCTCCGAGTTGTAACGATTGTGTCGCTACAATCGTTACAGAGCAATTCACGCGAACGGGGAAGGGTGTTGGAACAGCGTGTCCAGCCTTCCGGAAGGAAATAAGAGTGTTATTTCCCCGGATTCCAGAATCCGGAGGGGTCTCGGGCGGAGAACTCAAACTGTTTTATACAAACTTTTAGCTTACTGGTTATGTCCTGAATTGAAATTAATTAACATCCAGATTCATTTTCAGATAATGAGAAGCTAGGAGTTGAGGGGAAGGGTTGATCCATCTTCGATGGAGATGATGATTTTTATCTACTAAACAAAAACAATAGTAATAGAATTAGGGTGAATTCCCATAGGTTCCATTATTCATAGGTTCCAAAATAAAAAAATCTGTTGCAAAAATTCAAAAATTTATCTTCTTGAATTCTGATTGGTTGAAATTTGAGCCAACGAATTTATGGATCGATTGTTTACTGTTTAACCAGCATAAACTCAAGCTGCAGAATAGTGACCGCCGCAGCCGCGCCAACGTGTTGCGAGCTTGCCACCAAAGGGTAGGACTCTATACGAAATTTAGAGCCGGTTATCGCCGCGAAGCGGCGACGCGCGCATAGCGCGCCCACCGGCGACGTTAAACCGAGACTCGGCTAATTTAGTCTTTTGACCAATTGAAAAGATTTGGAACTTATGCGACTGCTTTTTTATTTTGGAACCTATGGGACTGATTTTTTATTTCCGAACCTATGAATACGCACCATAATTAGTAGTAGCCCTGTTCTTAGGAGTGACCTCGTGGTCTGGGTATACTGAGACCCAGCCATGAGCTCACTATTCTTGCATATAATTGAGTTAATTTGAGTGTTTTGACCGAAGCCAGAAGCAGTAACGTTTTTGTCGACCCGATGATAGGAAAACCACCAAAAGAACTGGCTTTGGCAGAGACGGTGAAAAGCATGTTTAGACGCTAGCCAGTCGTTTGAGAAACTAGCTTTATCTTCCGTCGATATGAACTTCCGGGCGAATGTTACACGTCCTAAGCCACAAGTTCATTGGGGCCAGGTTTGTTTTGGGGACATTTAAATAGGTATAACTGCGTTATAGTGTGGGAGCAGGAAGGGACAGTTTGGAGCAGCCTTTTCGGATTTATGCGGAGAGCTTGTTCAAGTAACGTTGCGACATCCGACGGCTGAAGCCACAAGTTATTGGGGTCGGGTTTGTTATATTTTGGGGGCAGTTATATTTTTGGTGCTAGGCAGTAGAAGAAAGGGACAGTTCGGAGCAGGCTATTCCGATTTACGGAAAATTTGTTATATGTGCCAGTCGGTCATATTTCTTCTCTTTTTTAAAGGTAAACAGAAGGTCAAAAGTATCATAGTAACCGAGGTTACAGTCAGTAGTCCCTTCATTACGTATTCCAGTCAAAATCCTTGGAATTTTCAAGATATGGAAGTGATAAAAGAAGATGACAAGTGTTTAAGTCCTTTTCAATTAAAAATGATACGGGTTACGTTTCTTCAATAAGAACACGCAACTCGGCACGAGAAAACATAATATAAAAGTGTTCGAAATAAACAATTTCGTCGAAAGTTATTTTGTCATTTAGTGTTCCGAGTACGCAAGCGGCGTTCGCAATCTGTATTGCCAGGGAGATTTTCTGTTTTAAAAAAGCGCATATCGGTTCCTCAGTGCATATGCTTAGGTTCTTAGGCTTGCTCAAAAATAAATTCTGTGCTGGGGCCGGCCGCGCCCTGAATCTCAAAAGCTAGCGGTTGAAAAAGATATCCATCATCTACAAGATCTTTATACTTGTCATTTTTTCGCTCTTCCGCTTCAGCGGCAGCCGTACCAGGGTTACAAACAGACCCAGCATTAATCCTACAAGGAGCTAAGGAGTCTACTACCGTTGCATCCCACAAGAGCTGCTTACCAACAGCCCATGGAACCAGCGTCAAACAGTCTGGTTGGTCCTGTAGAGGTGTCGTGATTCTAAAAGAGACGGATGGTGAGTAGAAGATAAACTCCGCTTTATAAGGGCCTTCAGGTTTGAATGCCTACAGAGTCTCCCTGCACTTTTGAGGCAAGAAAAACCATGCCAACCACCCTCGGTAACGTCTTTTCCGCACACGCATTTATGCCGTTCGCAAATTTTTGAGGCCTAATCGAAGTCCTATCGCAATTCTGAGTTGTTGGATTGACAGTTTTATCAATGACGGGATGACGATCAACTATTGGGAGCCAAATATATCTTGGAATGCGTTGAATTTTTTTACGTCCATTGGCTCGAGTCGTAAAATTAACTCTGCAATTTCAATGTCCAAAATTGGCTCCGTCCATTTTTTTGGATTCCATTTTCCGGAGCCATTTCAATTTTTCCAAGTTCGAACAACAGTTTAAGTGCATTATCATAGGTTCCATCCACATGCTCCAAACCAAAGATTTCGCTCAAGGCATCTTTTCCTCCTTCTGCTGAAGCTAAGAAAGCGGGTAAAGCGAGTAGACGAGCGGAAGAAAGGCCCAAGCCATCTTTGGCTGCCGGGAGAACTGCTTGTAGAAACTGGTTATCATCCAATTTCACGTTAGTGACTTTGCATAGCGAATTTCTGAGTAATTTGTCGTAGCGTTTCGAATATTCATTTTGAAAAAACAAGGGCTCGTACGCAAAAAATATAGGAATTTTGGCATGCTAAAGCAATTTTTCAGGAGGTAAAAACCATAATGGGCGTCTATTTTGTCAATGACATCCGATATTTTTTCAAGCTCCTTAATTTTTTCGAGGAGATCCTAAAATGAGGAGTTCTTCTTTTGTTTTAATGTTTATTTTGGGGCAAATTTTTCGAAATTGTTTTAAAATTGAATTATATTGTGTACTCGTAGTCGGTCTCAAAAAACAAAGTTCGCACTTCTCAGTGTTCAAGCTCAGGCCGTAAATTTGTTCCGATTTCAGAAAGTTTTTAAGGTCCCGGAGAACTACCTTATAGTCGTCGGCAGGGATTGCAATATATTGAATGATCAGATATTGAATATTGAGACGATGTCAATATTGAATTTTTAATATTGAGATATTGAAGGCTAGATATTGATATTGATATTGAATTTTTTGTAGATATTGAGAAAAACGGATTTTGTATCATTGCTTGAAACGTGACGTTTTAACACATACACATAAAACAAATGGTGATAAAAAGTCTTAAAAGAGCCTCAAGCATTAAAATTAAACAAATTAAACAAAAAATTTCTATCATCTAAATACCAGATGTTAATTTTTGACTCCAACTGTTTGACTAGTGTCTGAATTGTTTCCGCAAATAGGGGTTGGGCTTCAGGATCACCTGGCTGAGTTCCGTCTTCTGACATTATGACAGAGCTTCCGTAAAAAAGGTAACTAGGTTTACTATACGCGCAATGGGTGTAATTATACAATTCGGGGCGATTTGAATAAACATGATTCGTCATTGTTTCTCTATTTAGAGAGTTAAAGGCATTCATAAAATCTAGTTTTAAAAGAACAGTGCATTTTGGATTGTCGTCGCGTTCAATTAGGTTTCGAAACGAGTGTGCAGCTATTTCTGATTCTCGTTTGGTACCGCATCCTACCTGTACGTTTCCGCAAAAATTTTGTCACTCGGAGCGGGCCTTGCTTTTAGCGCATTTAGACGCGATACGTCTCTGCGTGTTGCCTATGGCAATCGGTCTCAACACTCCGTCTATCTTTATGAGGGCGATAAGCTTTGCGCCAAAAAAAGAAAGGTCCTAGGGGTTCGGGTATTTTGCCATCTCCAATGAGGTTTATCAGCTTAATAAGCGATTTCAGAAAATCAAGTCCTGCACTGCCATTCGATTTACTAAAAAGATCTTTAAAAATTTGAGGAACTATTTTATCAGGACCTGCTGCTGATCCGTTCGGAACGGACCTTATCGCTTTGTGTAAGTCAAAATCGATTACGAAAACACTATTCAAATTTTCTGGATTTGTAGCTGCAAATTTGGCTCGCTGAGGGTGCATCGACATTAATTTTTGATAGTTATCAGTTGAAAAAGGAGCAATTTTGTCATCCGAAGCAGCAAGTATTATTCCTCCCTTTCCATTTCCTTCATCGAGCTTACTACTTATTAGCTTTATTCTCTGCTCGAGGTCACTCAGAGGCGGGCTTGAAACTTGGGGATGGGGTTTTGGAAGTGCCACGTCATTTGCTCGAACTTTTTTATTTACAAAGAGCTCATGCTTTTGGTCTGTTTGCGTCCAATTCTTTTCTGTTGCTCCAAAAAAAAGAACGACGTTAACAAAGTTAGCCATTTTGCAACATCTTCTTCATTGTAGACGATGTCATTTATTTTGTCCGAAACACTTTCCGCCAAGGGAACACGCGAGTCTTTTGGTACTCTCTTGAGTACTCGGACATTTGAGATGGCCGTAATAACAAAATTTTCTAGCGCTAAATCATTACCTATTGTTGCTTTATTAACAAATTTTACATCAGCGCATAACGGACATTGAAACTATTGGGTTTTCTTAGAGTTACTAAGAGAAATATTTACATAACTGATATGATACCAACTAGAACAACGATCACTT